TCTTTTTAAGTAAAAAACACTAATGAAAGAATTTGCCATATTAGCTTCATGTTTGCTTCTGTTAAAAAAAGAGGTTAACATTAACTTGTTCAAGGTAATGACACCCTAGTTATCTATTAAGTTGCCTTGATATTTAAAATGAAGATAAATAGAGGTTACTTGCAATAAGAACTGAAATTTGCTGATGTTTCAGTGTTATGCTACAGTAAAACTCGCATAAGTCGTATCAGTCGGGACCATAACATTTAATATGACTTGATTGCTATCTTTAAGATTCTAAAAGCGCTAGACAATATATAGTTCATGACAGTCTGTTTTAACTTGTCCAGAATAGTAAAACCAGAGGACACGGCCTGCGATTGAAGGGGGTAAATTCAGAACAAATCTACCCAAACACTATTTCAGTGAGCGAATAGTGAACCTGTGGAACAGACTCCTTAGGGAGACGGTTGAAGCAGGAAATGTTGATTCTTTCAAGCACAGATTAGATAGTTTTCTTTTAGGAAAAAATATTATGGAATATAACACATAGGGAGTTTGGGACATATGTACATGCGACCACCAAGAAGGTGGAAGAAGACCTAGATGGAACTTGTTTTTTTTGTTTAGCATTTATCATGTTCTGATGATTTACACAAGGTCAGCATTGCAGGCAAACTGTAAAAATTGTATAAAACCCGATTCAATCAATAATCAACACTGCACTTGTGTAATTCAATGCTGCTGGTAAATGTGCATGGGGAGGGCAGTCAAAAGCAAATCGATGCACCTGGGGACACTGAGAAGAGCATCAATGCACAGGGGGGCACAGGGAAAAGTGCTAATGCAGTTGTCATTGGGAACACAATAGTCAAAGGGATAGACAAGCGTTTCTGCAACCGCAGACGTGAGTCTCACATGGTGTGTTGCCTCCCTGTTTCGAGGAACGGGTGCAAAATATTCTGCGGAGGAAAGGAAAACAGCCAGTCATGGTCCATGTTGGGAGTCATGATGTAAGGAAAGCAAAAGGGCTGAGATCCTATAGAGAGACTTTCAGAAGCTAGGGAGAAAACTGAAGAGTAGGACCTCAAAGGTGATAATCTCTGGATTACTCCCAGTGCCACATGCAAGTGAGTATAAGAACAACAGGATCAAACACATGAATGCTTGGCTGGAGAAATGGTGCAGAAAGGAGGGCTTCAGGTTCCTGGATCATTGGGACCAGTTCTGGAGCAGGTGGGACTTGTACAAGGTGGATGGGTTACATCTGGACAGAGCTGAGACCAATATCTTCACAGGGAGGTTAACTAGTGCTGTGGGGAAGGGTTTAAACTAATTATAAGGTGGGAAGTGATCCAGGATGTAGCATCAAAGAGGAGGAATAAGTTACATGGAGGACTGGGAGAGACAAATAGCAATGTAATAAGGAGTAATCCGGGAAAAGGAGGGATTAGATGGGGAGGGGGAATGCAGAGCAGACTAAGTCAGTATTAGAGTGCATGTGCGTAAATGCACAGAGTGCTGACAAATAATATTGGTGAGCTGCAGCTCAAGTTGCCAAATGGGATTATGATGGAGTGGCAATAACGCAGACCTGGCTCAAACAAGGGCAGGAATGGGAGCTGAGTATTCCTGGCTACAGTGTTTTCAGGAGGGAGAGGGAAGGGGAAAAAATGGTGGGGCGGCAGTATTGATCAAAGATGCGGTTACAGCCCTGGAAAGGGACGATGTGCTAGAGGGTCCGAAAACAGAATTTATTTGGTTGGAGTAAGGGAGCTGTTACTCTGTTAGGTGTACACTACAGACCACCAAATAGCGGGAAGAAGATGAGGAGAATTTTTTTCACGCAGAACGTTATTGGGATCTGGAATGCATTGCCTGAAAGGAAGGTGAAATCCGGTTCAATAACAACTTTTAAGAGAGAACTAGATAATTTTGGGGGGAGGACAGGTTTGCAGGGCTATGGGGAGAGTGCGGGGGAATGGGGTTGATCAGGGCTATGGGGAGAGTGCAGGGCAGTGGGATTGATCTGGGCTATGGGGAGAGTGGGGGAATGGGGTTGATCAGGGCTGTGGGGAGAGAGCGGGGGGAGTGGGGTTGATCAGGGCTCTGGGGAGAGAGCAAGGGGTGTGGGGTTGATCAGGGCTGTGGGGCGAGTGAGGTTGATCAGGGCTACGCGGAGGGAGTGGGGTTGATCAGGGCTCTGGGGAGAATGCGGGGGAGTGGGGTTGATCGGGGCTCTGGGGAGGGAGGGAGTGGGGTTGATCAGGGCTGCGGGGGGAATTGGGTTGATCAAGGCTACGAGGAGTGGGGTTGATTTGGAAGCTCTTTTCAAAGAGCCGTTACCGACACGATGGCTTCCTTCTGTGCTGTATAATTCTATGATTCTATGAGATACAGGAGCACATATGCAAGCAAATGTCAGAAAAGTGCAAAACCAATAGCAACCCTAACCCTAAATGATAATGGGGGACTTCAATTATCCTGACATAGACTGGCAAAATAACAGTGTAAAGGGCAAGGAGGGGGAAGGATTCCTGAAATGTGTGCAGGATAATTTTCTGGATCAGTATGTTTCCAGCCCAACGAGGAAGGAAGCAGTGCTGGATCTAGTTCTGGTGAATGAAGTGGGGCAAGTGAAGCAGGTTTCAGTAGGAGAGCATCTGGACAACAGTGACCGCACCATCATTGGGTTTAGAGTAATTATGGAAAGGGACAAAGAACAATCAAAGGTGAAGATACTCAACTGGAAGAGGCTAATTTCAGTGAATTAAAAAGCCAAGCTAGACTGGAAAGAAAGATTGGCAGGTAAAACAGCTAATGAGCAATGAGCTAATGAGCCTTCAAGGAGGAGATAGTTCGGGACAGAACAGATACATTCCTATGAAGGGGAAAGGTAGGGCATCAGAAGCTCCCTGGAAATTGGGATTAAAATAAATAGGAAGAAGAGGTTTATGATAAACTAGCTGTACCCGATAGAGCTACGCTTGTAACAACAACAACAACAAGATTCCATTTATAAAGCGCCTTTCACGTCAGGAGGACGTCCCAAGGCGCTGCACAGTTGGGTCATGATCCGAGCAGGGGGAAATGGTCAGGGTGAGGGGAGGGAAGGGAGGGAGCGAGGAGGGGGAAGAGAGTCGAGAGGGGAGCTGAAGGCACGGTCAAAGAGAAAGGTTTTGAGACCGGCCTTGAAGGAGGAAAAGGAGGAAGCAAGGCGAAGGCACTGGGGGATGGAGTTCCAGAGCCTCGGGGCTGAGAGGCTGAAGGCCCGACCACCGATAGTAGGGCGGTTGGGGCGGGGGACGTGGAACAGACCGGAGCCAGAGGAACGGAGGGTACGGGCAGCTAGGTAGGGGGATAGTAGGTTGGAGAGGTAGGAGGGAGCGAGGCCGTGAATGGCCTTGTAGGTGAGGATGAGGATCTTGAAATCAATCCTCTGGAACCAAAGGATCCAATATGGAATGTAGATTGATGCACCGACAGATACTTATCCCTGAAAGCTTTGATTTTCACTAAGGCATCTTTACAATGATAAATATAAATTTATGATTTATAATCGTCCTCCAAACATGAAAGGCGCTTTCAAAATTTTGTTTTGTTGTTGTTGCCACCGCTTAGCTTTGTCTGTCTTCTTTATTTTGTTCCCGCCGCTGTTTGGCTACACGCGTGCTCTGTGACGCAGGATGCCACAGTGCCACGGTTAGCTGGCGGGGCCACCAGGTGTAACTGCACGATGCCACTTTGTCTTGGTGGCCACCAGGTGTAACTGCAATGAAAAACTCAAAACTAAAATACATTTTAGGTCATAACTCACGAACGATAGGAGATACCCGAAAACAAATATGCCCATGTCACTCCCAGTAAAAAACCTTTCCGAAGAGGTATAAATCATATCTCTACTTCAATCAGTTATTGAGATCTTTCTTGAAGCGCAGACAAACATAGTCATTTTATTAATATAAGATGTCAGGTCCAAAATACAGAAGATAATCAAACTGAATCTAGAAAGTACACAGGACAACTCAAAAGGAAATAAGAGGGGCAAAGAGATTGTATGAAAAAAGATTAGTGGGTATCATGACATGAAACTAATGTATTTTTTAAACATACAAAAGTTTAGTCAAAGGAAGGGCGGAGCCGATTAGGGACCAAAAAAGGAAATCTTCTTATGGAGGCAGAGGACATGGCTGACGTATTGGATAGGATAAAAATAAACAGAGAGAAGGTACTGAAAAAAGGTTGATGGTGCTCAAGGTAGATAAGTCACCCGGTCCGGACGAGATGCATCCTAGGTTATAGAGGGAAGTAAGAGTGAAAATAGCAGAGGCTCTGACAACAACCTTTGAATCCTCCTTGGAGGAGTGGTGCAAGAGGACTGAAGGGTTGCAAATGTTACTCCCCTGTACAAAAAGGGAGAGAAGGATAAACCCGTAAACTACAGGCCAGTCAGCCTAACATCGGTAGTGGGGAAACTCCTAGAGATTATAATTCGGACGAAATAAATTTTCACTTAGAAAGGGTTTGTTAAAGGCAAATCATGACTGACAAACCTGATAAGAGTTTTTGATGAAGTAATGGAGAGGGTGGATGAAGGTAGTGCAGTTGATGTAGTTTATATGGATTTTCAAAAGGCTTTTGGTAACGTGCCACATAAGAGACTTGTTAGAGAAATTGAAGCCCACGGTATTAAAGGGGACAGTTGCAGCATAGATATAGAACTGGCTGGGGACAGAAACCAAAGAGTAGTGGTGAATGGTTGCACATGTGTCGATGGGTCAAGAAGTCGCTTGCCAAGATTCAATGCAGCCAGTAAGTGCAGGAGTAATGCGTGGAGAGGAACAGTGGAACAGGAACAGAGTTAGGATGTGATTAATATGAGCAGTGCAAAAAAATCTATTGATAGGAAACTGATGGTACTCAGGTGAATGTACGACTTGGGTGATTATAAAATTTATGAAGGTAAGACTATGCAAGTTTTACTGTATTAAGTTTCATAATGAAATTTGCTTCCTTTTCAGCAATCAGGGAAGATGGGATGCCAGGAGGCAGAAACAAAAGCATTGGCCCTGTTCAGGTAGGTGTCTGGTACAGGTTAGGGAGTTTCGTGTCATACCAGCTGATGGATAAACTTCACCTCATGAAGTTTTACAATTATGTGTTTTAATAAAGAATTTGACTTGTGTAAATAGTCCTGTGTTTAAAATTGAGTTTAACTTATGTTGATTTCTGAATAAATTGCATTTGAAATGTTGTCTATTGCTTTGTTGGTCCGCACTGGTCTGCAGTAATATGTGCTTGTACTTCATTGCTATTGGGGAGTTTCCTTTCATTCCTGACCACATGTAAATAACAGATTGATGTGATGGTGTGGATCCCTTCCCACCCATTGTTAACAGCTTGTCTTTTTTTTACAAGTTCATGGAAGTTCATGGCACTTTGCTGCAGTACACAACATGCTGAGCTTATTGAACTTGTGATTAGTGCCTCTGTTTTTCCAAATTTACGTAATAATAATAATAATAACGTAGAAAGGCTACCAAATGCATTGCCTCTTTTAAAAAAAGGTTTGTTTTTAACATCATTCTATTAGATTCCTAGGGTGTAAGAAGGAGTGATCTTTTAATCCAATAGGAACAAAATGTGACTGCAAAATACTTTAGCTATAAAGGTCGCAATTTGTTTTACCATTTCTACTTAACAAAATGAAGATACATCCAGGTCATGTTTATCATTAGTGTAACATTTCCCTCTTTAATGCACAGCAGCATTTTCTATTCAAACTACTCAAATTCACACAGCACTGTTTGTTCTTGATGTTGATAACTACTGTTCTTGCAGGCGCTCCAAGAGCATTTCACTTTATATTTCAGATATCTGAAGAAGAGATTGAAAGAATTATGTCTGGACAAGAATTTGAGGAGGAAGCTAATAACTCGTGGAGCAACAATGGAGACAGTGATCACAGCTCCCCAGGCAATGGGATCTCTGAGGGCAACCAACCGTCACCCGTTTCCACTCCTTCCTCAAGGTGGGAGTTTCTGATTTAAGCAGGGAAACAATAACAGTATGAGTTAAATAAGGAACAGTAATTTTCTCTTTTAATTGCGTTATGGTATAGGATAGGCTTTGATGTTTCTAAGGATAATGACAGCATCATTCCAATGAGGATTTAATATTTTTCTTGCACAATTCTCAACTTATCCCACGAGTGACATTATCCAGTGCAATGTAAATATATAATATCTGTAATATTATTATTGTTAATTGTATATGATTCACTGTTGCTTCCAGAAATAGAGGCACAAGCAATCAACTAGATATGCACAAATATCTGGACTGAAGGAACAGGAAAAATCAGAATATGAACTACATTGTTAGATCTACAGCGATAAGAAATGCTGGAAGTAAAGTTACTGTTCATGCCCGACTATTACATATATACATACAGGAAATGTGTATCTCAATTTATTGTTGCATCCAGCACTTTTCCAAAATATTCTCTACTTATGTTCAGCTGTTTCCATTATAATCGAGTGTTTTTCCTTGCACTGTTTGTATTATTGCACAAGAACAACAGTTTAATTCTGCCTTTTACCTTTCCAGCAGATCAGTGGAGCTGAATGGGTACACTGCACTCAGGGATCAGTTCATAGGGACACCAGTCTCGGCGCACTATCAGTACCTGCCGCACCTTTTTAGCTATGCTGCTCATTCAGGTCTGTTAGCCCCACAACCCCGCAGCCTGGATCCTCAGTCGCACACTCTTGTAGGTCAGTTGGTTGGAGCTGAAGATCTTGAACCACTTGGAACACCAATGCTGATTGAAGACGGGTGAGTCTAGCTTAGTGCAGATTATGGCCTCCTTGGGCTGCAAGAGTGTGTTTGTAAGCATGCCTTCAACTATCTTATTCCAAGTTATTCAAATACAGCTAATTGAGAATTTTCAATGGTTTCTCATATACATAAGCAGTATTCTGGGTAGCTCCAGGGGAAGGCATCAAATCACACCTTAAGAGAAAACTGCGTGCCTAGTCCTAGAAACTCATGATGCACTTCTACTCTTAAGAGGTCAAGTAATAGGTGTTCTTAATACTTGCGAATAATCCATGGCTCTCAAAATACCAGCTCCTCAATGTAATCACTCATCGCTCCTAACTGTAAAAAACCCTTCTTGGACCCTTCTCTACTCCCAAACTACAAACTACTGCCCCATCTCCAATCTCCCTTGCCTCTCCAAGTTCCAGGAAGGAGGTGTTGCTTCGCTCCTTCCTCTCCCGCCACACCCTTCTCAACTTCCTTCAATCGGGTTTCCGTGCCGCCCACAGCACAGAAACAGCCCTGGTCAAAGTGACATATGACATTCTGTCCATCTGCTTCATCCTCCTTGACCTTGACTTCGACACCATCGACCACTCTATCCTCATCCACCGCGTCTCCTCTCAACTCAACCTTCACGGCGCTGTCCTTGACTGGTTCAAATCGTACCTCTCACACCGCCTGCATTTCATCTCCACAAACGGCTTCCCCTTTAGCCCCCGGACCGTCTCGGGCGGTGTTCCTCAGGGCTCTGTCCTTGGTCCTCTCCTCTTCAGTATTTATATGCTCCCTCTTGGTGACATCATCCGCAGACATGGGGTCAACTTCCACACCTATGCGAATTACACCCAACTCTACTTCTCTACCTCCACCCTTGACTCCAGGACCCACTGCTGTCCTGATAGAATGTCTGTCAGACATCAAGTCCTGGATGAGAGATAACTTTCTTCAGTTGAAAATCAACAAGACCGAGGCTCTCCTGATTGGCTCCGTCAGCGCCTCCTCACCTCAGGCGCTGACAGCATCACCATCCATGGTTGCACACTCCACCTTGCTAAGCCAGTCCGGAAGCTTGGGGTCTTGTTTGACCCTCAACTATCCTTTCTACCCCACATCTAAGCCATGACCCGCTCTGCCTTCCCCCATCTCCACAACGTCACCCGGCTCCGACACTGCCTCACACCAAGGGCTACGAAAACCCTCATACATGCGTTCATTACATCGAGGCTCGACTCTGCAAACTCCTCACTTGTCGGCCTCCCCAACTCCTCCACAGGCTGCAGATCATCCAGAACTCTGCAGCCCGTGTCCTCTCCTGCACCAGGCTCCGCGACCCTATCACCCCCATCCACTGGCTTCCCATCACACAGAGGATACAGTTCAAGATCCTGGTCCTCACCTTCAAAGCCCTCCATGGTCTTGCACCCCCCTACCTCTTCGATCTCCTAACCCCCTCCCATCCTGTTCACTCCCTCCACTCAGCGGACTCTGGCCTGCTTCACGTTCCCCGCTTCACTCGTCCCACTATTGGCGGGCGGGCCTTCTGCCACTCTGCCCCCGCCCTCTGGAATTCCATCCCGCAGTCCCTCTGCCTCGTCCCCTCCCTCGCCACCTTCAAGACCCGTCTCAAGACCCTCCTCTTCGACTGAGCTTTCGATCTCCATGCTTCCCCCCCGCCCTCCGCCCTCCCCGACCCCCAGTTTGGGTCCATAACTCTGTCTTTCCAGCGTCTTGGGACATCCTCCCGACGTGAAAGGCGTTTTACAAACGTAATTTTGTTGCGGTTATTGTAATAACGGGGAGGGGAACGATCAGTGAGGAGAGTGGAGAGCTACTGGAGAGTGAGGAAGATAGAACTTAGTTTTTAAGAGAGAATAAATAAATACGCTCTTGTTGATTTTAAAAAAAATGTATGTAGCATTGCATGAGCTTTGAATAGCATAAATACGACACTTCAGTGAGGCTTTGTTTAAAAGGCTTTATTTTCTAATGAAGCGTGTCTTGAATAAGAGATTCAAGAACAAGATTAAATCTGAAAGTGATTCTTAACAACTGATGCCTTTTTGAAGAATTGATTCTCAAAAACTGGACAAATATCTGCTTATGAAACAGATTGAATATTACAGAGATGAGAATAGAGCTGGATAATCATATCCTTTTCCCGTGTCCCTCTTTTGCAGGTATAAAGTAACTCAATCCGAGCTCTTCGCTTTGCTTTGCCGGCTGGCAGATGAGTTACTTTTCAGGCAAATAGGCTGGATCAAAAAACTGCCATTTTTCTGTGAGTTATCAATCAAAGACTACACCTGCCTGTTGAGTTCTACCTGGCAGGAGCTTATCCTGCTCTCCTCCCTCACAGTCTACGATCGGCAGATATTTGGAGACCTTGCGGATGTTACCTCAAAGTATGCACCCTCTGATGATGAACTCCAAAGGTGAGTTAAGGCAAAAANTATCATACCAACAGACAACGTCTTTGACCTGATGTCTGACTGACATTCTGCGTAAACTGTATTTTATATATTTTTATCAGTGAACATTCGCCTCTGATGCATCTGTTGTTACACAAATGTTTCGATTTATGTTGAACATTGTTCAATGCTCCCTATCATTTGTAGGAATAGAGGGGATGGAGGCAATTAAAACTGACATCGTACAACAGATTGCCTATTGACCAGTCTCTTTTCCTCTTCACCCTCCCCCTCACCTCCCCCAGGAGTTCACCTGAGTTCAATGTGTGCCACCACTTTTAATGACTTCATGTAGAGCTCCAGATACTGAGAACTATTTTCTGTGAACAGAGCAATTTTTCTTTCAGGACAATTAGGTCAGGTAGTAGAGGGGTTTGATTTGGATATAGGAAAAGAGAATGTGTTAATAACCACTTATCTTTATTCACACCAGTAGTACATTCTATATACAGCAAGAAAGAAAATAAACAGTTATCCTTATTTCAAATAACAATTCATGTACTGGTCAAAGAGGCAGAGAATCTTCCCCCTCAGATCCTGTTAACCCTGCAAGCTAAAGCCCTAATGGGTAGGGTCGTCCTAGCTGGACAAGCAGCAGGAAAGTTTGCCAGATAATGGCAAGGTATGTGGCTTTAGTTGCTTAACTCCATCAGCACCTCAATGCACACTTTGGGGTCCCCACGCAAATCTTCACTTAATACTCTTTAGAGTTGAGAATTAGCTGTATCCTTCTATAGATAGAGTGTGCATTCCACACACAGGAAATTTTCCCTCTGTAGGTACATGCCACTGCTGGTTTGGGTACTGTTAAGCATGATGCTAGTTTTAGTTTACTGCATGTACCAGACACCCAGCTGACCAAAGGAAATGGATTGGTACTTAAAAGCTTTTTTTTAAAGTGCTTTTTGTTTTGGTTCTGATTAACCTAAAATATCAAGGAAATTTGACATTGATTTAAGAGTTTAATGGTTCTGTAAGCTGTTTACTGAAACTTGCAAAAGATGAGATTAGTAGCTCTGTGAAGCAGTTTGTTGTTGAAATATTATCCTCCTTGGAAGGGGGTGGGGTAAGCATGGTCTCTGCGGAGCTGAGTTGACTCCAAGGTGATGTGCTTGACATTGGAATTGAGTCAACTCTCTGGCGGCCTCAGTAGTCTAGTTACTGAGCCAGGTGTGTCCACAGTACCCTTAAGTCCTGCACGTCGGCAGGACTTGAGGGTCACTAGGGGCAGAGATTGTTAACTGTGCAAGCAAAAGTCATAACAGGTAGGATGGTTCTATTTGGACAAACAGTGTGAAGCTTACGGATAGTGGCAGGCTATGTGGTTTTAGCTGGTTAAGCTCCAGCAATTACCCCCAACGTACACCCTGGCTTTACTAAGCCTTTGGCTCTTGCCAACCTGTGCTCATGCTATCTGCAATTGGGTAAATAGGGTATGTCCCTCCAGCAAGATAGAGCACATTCCATTCCAGACACTGGGAACTGTTCATGTGGAGGTGGCAGACATATGTGGAATTCTTTTTGAGTGGATCCTCTTAAGCATGATGATAAATTTCTATATGTATCAGACAAATGGCTGACAAAACACAAAAAGCTTGAAATCTGGTTATAACAAGTGTAAAATGTGGAGTCCTGTAGCTCAGTGGTTAGAGCACTCGCTTTGCAAGTGAGAGACCTGAGTTCATTTCCAGGCAGAGGGCGAAACCTTGGGCAAGTTTCCTTACTCCACACAGAGCCTAATAATAATTCCTCCAAAAACAATAATAAATTGGTCATTTTCAATCTACGACTGTTTGTGGGACATTGCTGTGCGCAATTGGCTGCCGCGTTCGCCCACAAATATACAGTCAATTCACTTTACAGTATATTCTGTGAAGCGCTTTGGGACGTCCTCCCGACGTGAAAAGCGCTATATCAAATGCAAGGATTATTATTATTAAAATCATACTAGCATTAAACAACTGCTTCAGGAGATCATTAAATTACAAATGTTTATTAAATCATAGGCAATGCTTCCCAAGAAAACTAGCTAGTGATATTCTCATGAAAAAGTACACTTAACCCACAGGAGTTTCAATAAAATAGATAAATACATCATTCCTTTTGTCAAAAACCTAATTGATTAAAAAGTATATTAAGAAAATATCAAATGTATTTATTAATCAACCGCATACGTGAGAGGGAGACGGATTAGGAGGGGTGGAAGCTCATGCGGAGTATAAGCACTGACTGAATGGCTTGTTTCTGTGCTGTAACAATCTCTAATTCTGTGTCAAATAAACCAAATGTCAGGTCACATTCAACTTCTTAATCTGCAAATTGAATTTTGAAATTCATGATAATTTTTCTAATATTCCTACATATTATGCGACATCTAATTTGGTCAATGTAATGAGACGTAACAGTTGCTATTTTTTCTTCTGAAACTACAGTGTGATTTTTTTTTACAAATACCGTATTCCATTCCAGGTCAGTCTTGTTATTAAGAGTATATTGATGATATGTGTCGGCAGTCAGTAATAAATAGTAGCATACACAAATGTTCTTAATTGCCTATTTTTATTAGATGGTTTAGCAAGCAAAGGAATGATGCAGTTATCTGTTTCATTGGAACTCCTGTGGGAAAAGTGCCCACTTTCAAGTATCCTAAATCAGGCTTTCACCTCTGTCTGCCTTCCATCAGTAATTTTGGAACCAGATTTAAGTCTTCTGTTTTCTTAGCCAGTTTCTTATCGGGTTCTGGAAGTTTTTGCATTTGATTTACGAGCAGCTGTGTTCTTCTGACACTGTAAATGGGGATTACTGCAGGAGCAGGCAAGTGACCACCTCACGCTGGGCACTAATGAGTTCTTACTCACTCTGGTTCTAAGGTCTTTCATATGTGAACAGCATTTTGGCTTCTTCATTGCTAATTCTTAATTGTCTTATTGTCCTTTTGCTTTGAGTTAAAACTATTTATTGCTGAAGGGCTTGACTTTCTAACAAATCTGCACCCAGTCAACTGTGTCGATCACCTCGGTTAATGTAACTGCCAATCTCGTTTGCTGTGCAATTTCCTTAAAATGTTGCCTTTGAAGTAAATATTAAATTCATACAATATTTAATAAAAAAATTTGATCAAACTGCCAGTCGATACAATTCCAGTGATCCCCTATTGTCACAATAAATTTGTAATCATTTGAAAGAAGAAGGTTGGTAACTGTGGAGGAGGTCAGACAGCCTAGTGAGTCTTTATGTATCATAAGGGAGGAACGTTTGCAAAGAATAGGAATTGATTATGTTGGAGGTAGGCGGCGGATAATTGTCAACGTTACGAATTCACAAAAGTAACCAGTTTCCATCGAATGCTAACAAATGCTCCAATTTTATTTATTAAAAAAACACATTTTTTTTCCTCTCCATTCATTAAACACTAGTGAGCAGCTGTACACCTGCAGTGTGTAAGGAGTACAAGTAACAGCAGAGAATGTCGCATTGATAATTAGTTCTGTGTTGATGAACAAGGTTTTCATCTCTTCCATTTTAGCGTCCTTGCAAAGTGAAATATAATGTAAAAGTCTCTCCCACGCGAAAGTGTCTCCCCGCTGTACTGCAGCATTTAAATTACATTTGTCGGAGACAGTATTCCTTTTGTTGGCTTAGATAGACTAGATCTTTAAACTCTTGATAACCTACCCCCACAGTATTCAGCTTTACAATTCCCATCACTGACAGTGTTCAAATTATTTTAATTAAATGCGGTAGAAGCTTGATGGACAATACGAGGGATAGAAGCGTGGCGACCCCAACCTAATAGATGATTTTTGCAAGAAAATGGCTTTGTGATATTCATACATGCTCTTAGTATGATTGCAAACAGTGAAACAATAAAGTGATCAGAAAGCAAGCGCTGAATAGTAGGAGTAGTAAAGGGTTAGCAGCATTTGGCAGCGATCCCTCTCAGTCCGTAGAAAGTCCTTAAGGCACTTGATTCTGATGAGCTGGAGAAAAAGACTTCTAAAAGAGAGAAAGCAACTTGTGAACGTTGCACCCCACGTTCAGTCTCTAGCCCCTGAATCGGGAGGTTGTGGAAGCAAGCCCCACTTTGGGACTTCAAGCTCACAGTCTAGATTGAAATTCCAGTGAAATACTGGAGGGGGAGAACTGTAATGTCAGAGGTGTTGTCCTTCAGGTGTGACTTTAAACTGGGATCCCCTCTTGTCTTTTTATGTGCATGTTAAAGGATCTCATGACAGTATTGAAGAAGGGAGTTTCTCTTTGTGCGCTTCCCAACAATCCTCCAGATAAATTGGTCATCCCCTTCAAGACTGTTTGTAGGACTTGCTGTATGTAAATTGGATGTCATGTTTCCCTACAAATACAGTTACTACACTTGACAACAATTACCTGTAAAGCCCTTTGACATAGGTGTTATATCAGATGATATAACAATAATAAATTGGTCACTTCAATCCACAACTGTTTGTAGGATGCTGCTGTGCGCAATTGGCTGCTGCCTTTCGCCCACAAATATACAGTCAATTCATTTTACAGTATATTCTGTGAAGCGCTTTGAGACGTCTAGAAGACGTGAAAAGCACTATAACAAATGCAAGGATTATTAATATTATTAGATGGAAAGATTATTATTTTATAAGGAAATAAACTGTAAAATATTTACTATATGACGTGGCTGAGTTGCAGCAGTCTGTTATGTCTCCACTACATGAGATAATACACAGACATATAAGATTCTAGTTCTTGTCATGATGGGATGTCACCTCAATCTTTTTAGCACCAGATGAAGAGTATCTTGACAGAATGTGAGGGCATCATTCAATGGCAGTGTGGATGGCGTCCCATTCCATCTGATTAATAACCCTGCGGAGAGGAGTTCCACTGGAAAAACAGACATTGTCAGCATAGAAAAAGGCCATTTGGATCTGTCGTGTGTCAGAGATTGCTCCTCGACCTGCACAGAGCATGGATAATTTTCCATTTTAAGCGATAAATTTACAATATTATCATCCACTTCGATAGTCATTTCTTAAATTGATGTTGAATGGCATTATTGTTGACATTGGCTTTTAAACTGAATATGATTTAAGTAGAGAATAGCATTCTCTGATTATAAATGATTGTGTAACATCATTTTATAATCTAGATATTTGTTCACAATAAAACATTATGGTTAGAATCAAATGTTTCCAGCAACACGATATCTGTCCTTGTCTTATTGTCTGTGTTTATTCATCTTCCACAAAACGTAGTGCAAAAACTCCAACTTAATAGTACAACTGATGTATTTATTGAAGAGCTTATTGTTAGAATTTCTCTTATATTGCAGTCCTGCATATGTTGTTGGAATTGTATCATTTCTATAAAAAAAACATTTCTTAGCATTATCTTAGCAAATTTTTGAAGTGTTTCTTATATTAAATAAGACTAGTATTGTGTGATGCCCTCAAATAATGACTTGAATGTTTAACAAAAACTTTGTATTTTCCCGTAGATTCAGTGAGGAGGGGATGGAGGTTATGGAAAGACTAATCTACCTCTTCAGAAAATTTCAGCAGCTGAAGGTCAGCAATGAGGAGTATGTGTGCATGAAAGCCATCAACTTTCTCAATCAAGGTACACTAACTATTGTATACTCTTAGTTCAAACAATAATAATAATAATAATAATCCTTGCATTTGATATAGCGCTTTTCACGTCAGGAGGACGTCCCAAAGCGCTTCACAGAACACACTGTAAAGTGAATTGACTGTATATTTGTGGGCAAACGCGGCAGCCAATTGCGCACAGCAATGTCCCACAAACAGTCGTAGATTGAAAATGACCAATTTATTATTGTTTTTAGTTTTGGAGGGATTATTATTAGGCTCTGTGTGGAGTAAGGAAACTTGCCCAAGGTTTCGCCCTCTGCCTGGAAATGAACTCAGGTCTCTCACTTGCAAAGCGAGTGCTCTAACCATTGAGCCACAGGACTCCACAATAATTGAACATTGTGATTTGAGAAGGGTTGCCCACAACAAATTGCAGCACTAAGAAATCCATGTTGATAATGGAGCTTTATTAATAGATCATTATTTACTAATAGAATATTAGTAAAAGTCCTATAGCTAATGGTTAGAGCGATTACCTCGCAAGTGAGAGGACCTGGGTTCGATTCCCAGGTAAGACAAAACTTTGGGCAAGTTTCCTTACTTCACAGCCTCTGTTTATGTAGCAGTAAGTAGGAACACGATTATTAGTTGTTGGATCGCTTTTCCAGGGATAATGATCCCTTATTTTAAAAAAATTGGGTCACTCTTTGTGGGACACTACTGTGTGCAATTGGCTGCCGTGTTTTGCTCACAAAATATACAGTCAATTCACTTTCCGCCTTGCATTTGATATAGTGCCTTATCATGTCTTGAAGATGGGATAAGGCACTATATGAAATGCAAGGATTATTATTATTATTGATATCAAATGGTGAGCATTGAGATCACTGAGTAACATTGAGAAACACTGAGCCTGTTGTCTAGGTAGTTTGCATCTTGATGTTATTTGGGGTATCTCACTGTTCCCATGTTAGATTTTATTTTATTTGTATTGCCAAGAGAAATGAAAACTATTCAGATTGCTGATGATGATGATCATGACCCCTTGTGACTCGAAGTCCCTGTGGCAGCAGCGGTGCTTCCGGGTCCTGAAATAAATTGTCGATCTTAAGCCAACATTCGCTGGACCACACAGATGGTATAATAGGAAGAAAAGTTTATGCTTAAGACACCCTAGAACTCAACAACAGGTGTTTTTTCCACAATGTATGGCACTGATGCTGCACAGTTAAACAATAACAAACACGCGTTTCTTCTTGTTGGTTAAGAATGAGTTCCTTTTGTGAGTGGCAGGTATGGAATTCCAGAGGGCAAGGCCAGAATAGCTGAAAGCGCACAATGAATTTTATCACTAATGTACTTTTTTGTCGAATTTTTGACCATTTTTCTAACTTCCAGCTTGAATGCAATCACTCAACGCTTTGGGGCTTCCTCCCAACATGAGCGGCACTATGGTTGCTATGTTATACAGTTGTTATTTTATTTTTCTGGTTCTGACCTTTCCTTCAGTAAAGAGGACATTAGTCTGGTAAACCAGATGTTGGGATGTATGAAAAGATTAATAGCAAGCCAAAATAGTGGGGTACACCTGCCACTATATAAATCATGGGTGAATCCATACTTAGAGTACTGTGTACAGTTCTAGTTCCCGCAGTACAAAAAGGTTGTTGGAGAAATCAAGAAGATACAGAGGAGGGCAACCAAAATGATTGAGGGAATGGAGGACCTGGACTATGAGGAGCGACTAGGTAAATTGGGCATGTTCACGCTGGAAAAGAGAAGATTGAGAGGCGATGTAATTGCTGTCTTTAAGGTTCTAAAGGGGCAAAACAATATAGATCATGACAGGCTGTTTCAACTGTCCAGAATAGTAGAACCAGAGGACACGGCCTGTGATTGAAGGGGGGAAATTCAGAACAAATCTATACAAACACTGTGGAACAGGCTCCCTAGGGATATGGTTGAAGCAGATATGTTGATTCTTTCAAACACAGATTAGATAGTTTTCTTTTATGTTTCTTTTAACATTATGGGATATAGTACACAGGTAGTTTGGGATATATGTACATGTGACTGCCGGAAAGGTGGAAGGCGAACTAGATGGACTTGGGTCTTTTTTCGTCTAGCGTTTCTTATTTTCTGTAAATGTAGAATGGCATTGTCAATCCTGCTCTATATTGGGACTGACCGCACTACACATTTGAGAGTTTGAGTTTGCGTGGGAGTCAGCCACCCCAGTACTGGAGCTGTTTGTTGCCCATTGTAGACACAATTAAGTAAACTAAACAAACAATGTATACTAGATAATAGCCCAAGTTATTCTGGGAGAGAACATGGAATCTATAAATTTACACATAAAAACACAAAAATTTTTCTACAAAGTGGGTCTACAAACAGCTTTCATTCATCATCTTGGGCTTAAAATAAAATATAGTATATGATCTGCTTTAAAATCTATTATTGTGTCGATGAAGTGTTAGTAGCACATTTCTGCTGTACAGTTTATTATTGCATTTTGCAAGATTCTCGTAGGACAAGCATCAAGGACACAAAGTTAGTTTGTACGTGATACCACCTCTACTGACGTACATGAGTGCAAATGTAGTCAGGAAATGGAACAACACAAAATGCGTAATATAATCATTACAGATAAGCCTCCACATTTACTTTTGTACCATTTTATTTTCAAAGGGCAGCCTTACTCTTATGTTCTTAATTTAATTTGTGTTATTAACTAAAATAGAACACTCAGTTGGTGTTATTTGCACTAACTGATCAGTTTCAAAGACTTGAAATAATGCCTATATTTGGGTGATCTGGGTGAAATTGAATCCAAGTCAAACTTTTGCCTCCAGGAAAATGATTTCAAAAAGTTTCAAGTCCTGATGATGCCTCGTTTCAACATTTAGCCTTGAAGATGCCCACTGATAATGACTACACAATGTAATTCTGGTGCCATGCAAGTAGATGTCAGTGGTGTGCTTTATAAGCAGCACAGGTGAAAATAGAAATAGAACTGGAAAAGTGAAGGTCACAGCAATGATATTTCACCTACAGATGATTAAGCTGCAGGCATTTTGTCTGATGATGGTTGAGGGGCAGTATAGAACTGAAAATATGGTGTTGGTTAGAATACTAGTTTACCAGTTTCTTGGTTCTGATTAATATAATGTGTCTGGACTTTCTAAGCAGGAGTAACTGCAAAAGCAGAGTTGCTCGATGGGCTCCTTTTATGTTGTAATTTCTATAATTTCCACTGCAATTCTATATCAGTGTAAAATGTCAGCGCAGTAAACCTCTACCAAAGCTCCTGCTGTAGAACTCTGAGGCATGATAGGCTGGACTATGGGAACTCTCTCCTCGCCGGCCTTCCCGCCACCTCCCTCCACAAGCTGCAGGTCATTCAGAACTCTGCAGCTCGTGTACTGTCCCGCACCAGACACCGCGCCCACATCACTCCCACCCTCGCCCTCACCCTCGCCCTCACCCTCGCTCGCCTCCACTGGCTCCCCATCCCCCAGAGGATTGATTTCAAGATCCTCATCCTCACCTATAAGGCCATTCACGGCCTCGCTCCCTCCTACCTCTCCGACCTACTATCCCCCTACCTACCTGCCCGTACCCTCCGTTCCTCTGGCTCCGGTCTGCTCCACGTCCCCCGCCCCAACCGCCCTACCATCGGTGGTCGGGCCTTCAGCCTCTCAGCCCCGAGGCTCTGGAACTCTATCCCCCAGTGCCTTCGCCGCTTCCTCCCTCTCCTCCTTCAAGGCCGGTCTCAAAACCTTTCTCTTTATCTTTCTCAAAGCCTTCAGCTCCCCTCTCAACTCTCTTCCCCCTCCTCGCTCCCTCCCTTCCCTCCCCACACCCTGACCATTTCCCCACTGCTCGGGTCATGACCCAACTGTGCAGCGCCTTGGGACGTCCTCCTGACGTGAAAGGCGCTTTATAAATGGAATCTTGTTGTTGTTGTTGTTGTTGTTGATAGTACCCAAAATTTGATCTCATTGCTCCTGTTGTACTCTGATGTTATGTCACCTGGTAACTCTAAATAGGGATGGTGGGATGGAGTGAGATCAGATGGGCCAAAGGAGCTTCTTCCTGTAAACTAATCTTGTGGTCTTGTAGAATTCCTATTTTGAATTAAAAAGGTGCACAGGTTCTTTGCCATTAACAACAATGTTCACTGTAAATTCAATGTCACACTGACCGTGATCTGATGCCTAATGTGTGTCTGGTAAACACTGTGTTTATATAATGTTGTTGTAGCCAGGCTTTATGGAAAATCATTTCCTCACATAATATGAAGAACAGGTAGTGGATTATTTGTCATTTTAGGCAAGAATTTTCCAAACTGCTTAGTTAAAGGTTTTCATTTGGGGTTTTTCAATTCCATCGTCTTTTAGAATGCAAATGTTTCCAAAGTGAGTAGATTCAGTTCGCTAATTGAAAGTCTCGTCAAAAATTGATCAACTCTGTTACATGTATTTAACCAATCTGGAGTCTATTAAAAAGTGGCCAGATTTTATTTCCAACATCACACGCCTCTGTTTATCTAGCAGTAAGTAGGAACCTGGTTGTTAGTCGATTGGCAGATGGCTTTTCCGGGGTAATCTCCTTTTTAAAAAAAAACATTAATTTGGCTGTAAGCAATTGGCTGCCGCGTTTCGCTCACAAAAATATACAGTCAATTCACTTTACAGTATATTCTGTGAAGCGCTTTGAGATGTCTAGAAGATGTGAAAAGCGCTACATCAAATGCAACGATTATTATTATTATAGGATATTCTGGACTAAACTATCCTTCCCCTTACATTGGAAAATTGCCTCTTGATATAATGCAACTTTTTAAAGAAAATTCCTGAAGCCTGTAACACTGATTGGTAACATAAGTAAAAAGATATTTGTAGTTAACAGCACATATGAGCCAGCAGTATTCTTGCTAATTGAAAGTATTTCTGTATTCTTTGCAGATATAGGGGGTCTGACAAACGTATCTCAGTTGGAGCAATTGAACAAGCGCTATTGGTACGTGTGCCAGGATTACACGGAGTTCAGATATCCACACCAGACCAATCGTTTCCCTGAGCTCATGATGTGCCTGCCTGAGATCCGCTACATTGCAGGTAACTAAAACGGGTGATTTCTTACGCATATTACTTGTGTTTGCCTTCAGAACCAATAGCTGTAATAGGTCCATGATTATTATCAATGAACTATGTTGCTAAAGTGTTTTTTATTGCAATCTATTTAGAGAATTTTGCAGTTTTTAAGTTCATTGTCTAAATGTAAATACAGTATTTTTAAATGGTTTTTAATATTTCAAGTTTTACAAATTGAATAGTGGTGTTTTACATAAACCATGTCAACTACACATTCACTATCTGTATTTAAATGCTGGATACACACTGATAACTGATGCTAACATTGACAGCAGATTTAGTCAGTTCTGAATCAGGATGAGAACCAGCTGAGAAATCTCACATGGATAAAAGCTGTTTGCCATTGCCTTTGGCAGCTTTTCTCTGTGTCCCACACAGCTGTGGAGAGGTTTATTCACTGAACTCTGGAGAGCAAAAGCAAAATCTTAACTAAGTTTGACAACAATAAGAGCTTAGTGTTTCCAACTTTGCTGGAAAGCTCCTTCCTTGTTGATTTACAAATGATAGCAATCAGCTGACACTTTTCTTTATTGTGAATCAAACCAGAAGAGGGGAACTTATGACCGTGTGGGTGAAAGGTTCTGTTCCAGCTATTGTAAAAGGGGAAGTGATAATTCATTAAAATAATACACAGGAGTTGATCAACAGGCGTGATTGGTTTCAAAGTGATTATTTAAGAGGCAACGGTTGACCCTGGTTGCAGTTATTTCTCCACAACAGCATAGAAACAGGAGTAGAAACATTCAGCCCCTCTAGCCTGTTCCACCATTCTATATGATCATGGCTGATCTGTACCTCAAATCCAATTACCCGCCCTTGCCCCGTATCCCTTAATACCCTGACCTAACCACAACAAAATTACATTTGTTTAGCGCTTTTCACGTTGGGAGGACGTCCCAAGGCGCTAACTAGTATCTATCCATCTCAGTAGTGAAGATGTGAATGGATCCAGCAACCACAGCCTTTTGGGGGAGAGAGTTCCAGGTTTCCACTACCCTTTGGGTGAAAAACTGCCTGCTGATTTCACTCCTAAATGGCCTAGCTCTAATTTTAAGATTATGCCTCCAGTTCCGGATTCCCCTACCAGAGGAAATAGTTTCTCTGTATCTCCCCTATCGAATCTCTTTATTATTTTAATAAACCTAAAGCAGATCACCCTTCAACATTCTAAACTCAGGGGAATAGAGACCAAGCTTATGCAACCTGTCCTTATAATTAACCCTTTTAGCCCTGGTATCATTCTGGTGAATCTACGCTGCACCCTCTCCAGAGCCAATATATCCTTCCTGGGGTGCGGTGCGCAAAACTGAATGCAGTCTCCAGTTGGGGTCTGATCAAGGCTCTATATAGTTGACGCATCATTTCTTCTGCTTTACATTCTAGCCCCCTTGAGATAAAGGCCAAATCCCATTAGCTTTTTTGATAATTTTTTGCACCTGTGAGCCTGTTTTAGTGATTTGTATACGTGGACACCCAAACCCCTATGATCTGCCACAGTTCTTAGTTTCTCACCATTTAGAAAATATTCTGCTTTGCTATTTTTGGCCCCATAGTGGATGACCTCACACTTCCCTACATTGAATTCCACGAGTGAGGATGGTCGTATGAAACTGAGTGACTTTTCAAAGAGCCAGAAACTTGTTGCTAAAGCATCAAATAAAATTAATGTTATTTTCCATTCTGACTTTCTTTACGCAGGCAAATTGGTCAATATTCCTCTGGAACAACTTCCACTGCTGTTCAAAGCAGTGCTGCACTCGTGCAAAGCCAGTGCAAATAAAGAGTGAGCCGTCGGCCTGTGACCCTCGTGTTTGCCATGCCTTACTGTGGTGCCTCAGGTAGAGAAGGAATTTGGAGGAGAAAAAATGTTGACCAAGATCTAGATTGCAGGGAAACCCTCAGATTGAGAGCCCAAACCCTGCCATTCTGACAGCAGCTATATTTTACTTTACTTTATCTATTTATTTCATGACAGAGTTGAATGTATGATCTTCAACACAGTGCACATGTTTCTGTACAATGCAATTGATGCATTTCCTTGCAGTTTACGGTATGTAGGGTGTTATTGTTACAGTATTGCCATTTTAGGTGTAGTGGGATTTTTTTTATATTTTGGGAGGAGAGGCTGAGAAACTTGTTTTATTAAGACTACCTCAATCGCAAGACGACATCAGTAATGTATCTCTTTCCACTTCCAATGCCTTAAGGCTATCATTACATCTTAGAAAAGCTGCTGCCTTGTAACCACAAATCCGTACCAGTATGAATGGCAATGATTGGCCATATAAGGGAAATTCTGGTTGTGTTTTGTGGGATGCCCTGTGATCCTCCAGAAGGATATAAAAGTGAATGGTGCAATTTACTCATCTCCTGATTATCCATTGCTACTTCCACATACATTGATGATATAGAGCTGGAAGATGTTAATTCATTTTCTTACATAATGTTTTTGTAGATTGGTGAACATTACACTTAATGGTGCGGGGGGGTGAGTGTGCCCAGTGGGATATCATCTAATGTTGATGCCATCATGTTGTGACCAGTGTTTCGGGCAGAAAGTGTTATGAACAACAGTTCCATTCAAAGAATGAACGGAACATCTCTAGATTTCTAAAATTGTAGCCAAAGATTTTGATGATGGGAAATGCTGAACATATTTCCAATTTAATTATATTTCTGAATCTCAAAACAATAATACATGATGTGTGACCCAATGTGAGGTTGCCAGTGTCAGGCCTTAATGTGGGATCTTTACTAAATATACCATTCATGTACCAATATTTGGGATTTTGTGAAAACTGATTTGAAATAGAGGATCTTCAAGTACAAGGCAGCAGCATGGCACCTATTTATCTTCCCAGTTAACGTCATCTTTAGTGACAATTATTTCCTGTGACAAGACCTACCTCTTCGATGAGAAAGCAGATGTGGAAATTACTAGTATAAACTGCTCTCCTAGTGCTGAGATTAACAATCAGGAAATCTGATATCTTCTAGATCCAAATTCATGCAGACTTAGGGTTAGGGTTAGACATGTAAATTATGTGAATTGTGTTGAAATGCACCACTGCCATCAGCGGTTTGGGAAATTATTAATTTTAAAATATTGGGAAACTTTCTGACACCAATCCTTCCCCAAAACCAAATGAATGTTTATTAAAAACATTGTCAAGATGAATCGCCTTTTAACTTGGACAAATTCAAGGTAGTTTTTCCTGTTTAGGCTACGAAAAAAGGCTTGATCAGTGTTTTTTGCACTGCTATGAAATGCAGGCACTACATTCAACATACCTCCTGCAGACAGCCCAGCTATAGCTTATGCAAGTTAAAGTTGAATACTATTTGACACAGTGAGCCAGCTCAAATGGTAACTTGGCTCATTCTGACGCAGAACTTTAAACCAGTCATTTAAATCCAACACCCTACTGTCTTTCTATAGCCCTATTTATACTATGATTTAAAATCAATTCAATGCTACTTTCACATTGAATCATTACTAAGTGTAATATTGATTGGGTTCTAGAGAATCGATTTGATTTGGTCCTCACTCCCGTTCACTCCAATAGGAGGATTTTATGAATCGTTTTGAACAAATTGGGTTTGTACTGCAGCCAATTTCAAATTAACTTTTAAACTTATTAAAAAAAAGAAATGTTCTGATGCAATTGAATGTATTTAATTGGAGCCCTGAAACTTTTAATGTTGGTAAAGAGCTGGTTGCGCAACAAATTCTTTACTAATATTAAACGGGTGATAGTTGTGAAAACTCCGAGCTCTTCTCAACCCCTCAGTCTACTTTAGGAGTGACTTCTATATACTCCATCTCCTCCTCTGAAGGGGGTTAACGTCTGCAAACTATTAGCAAAGCTTCATCAGTATAAATTCAGTATAAAATAATCTGATAACACTTTCCCTATTCCCTAGCCTGAAAAGGTCATGTTTAACATCCAGAGATATGGAGCAAGTCCTAACATTGGTTCACATTCCACTGACCAGCTCCCCAGTGGGGCAGCTCATTTCCTTTGGACTGACTGCTTCCCATTCCAGGCTTTGTTTGTCCTCAGTAGCTCCCACTATTGATGGATGCGCTCACAACCACTGAAGGATTCCTCCTGATGCAATGGCATTGCTCCTATAATCTTTTACAATATGAACTTCTGAAATCATAAGCTCTGAAACAGTGATAATGTGGAGAATATGAGCCCAAAACACTGCTTTCTGAGGCATTGCTTTATATGACCTGGTGTGAGTAGACACAAAATCAATTTAAATTTTCTTTGTGCTTTCAACATAATTCACACGCATTTATTTATGTGCTGCATTCAGCCAGGGTAACAGTCAGCAGCTCAGGAATCCACTGTCCTAATCATGTTTGTGACACTGAGGATGCACATGTCCTCAGTTGGATAGGGCATTCACAAATGGGGAAAGGAATAGTACTGTATTCTTGTCCCATTACCTCCTAATCAAAAGTTTAATATTGTCTTAACTTCACTTGTGAGCTTGGTAAATCTAATCTGCACCATACACTCAAATAACACTCCTTAAATAGATATTAATGTGAATTTGTTTCCACAAAATAGTCTTACCTCAGATGGTCTCAGGGAATATATTTAGGTGCCTTTTTTAAACCTCTGAATATCGTTTGTTTTTTTTTCTATTGGTTTAATCATAAAACTAGCAACCAAGAAAATATTTTTTTATACAAGGCATTATTTCAGCTCTATGTACTTCTTTGTGATTTCCTCAATTCAATCCTCCCTGCAGTCAGACTCCAGATATGCTCAGTTTAAGGCAAGAGATTCTTGCATTCAATTGACTTTCAATGTTTCATGTTTCCAATTTAGACTCGCAACTGATGGTGAATAGTTCAGATTGATTGAACTATTGATTTATTCTGCAAAAGTGTCTAACCTCTATGTAATCAACCTGCTGCTGACTGGTAAATACTGGTCAGAATTATTCATAAATTGATAAGGAAATGTGTCCAAATCCAAGTTGAATCAGCATAAAACTAACAAAGCTCTACAATTGGGTATAATGATTAATTTAGTCTGCCAAAAATTGACATACCTGAACTCTTATATGCAGGTGATAGATGGTCCTCATCTTATTCACCATCAAGTCTTTTATGACTTGTTTTAAAACAGGGTAAACTGAATGTGTTGTGTTACATACGAAAATTACTCAGGTATTATGATGAAAGTAGATGACCTAGTTGTAGATGTAGAACCTTTAAACCACTGAGTATCTTTCTCTTTATAAATTGTACTTGAGGGGAACAGTTTGAAGGCTGGATATCTTAGGAAATTGGAGGTTTAAATTCCACATTCTGTATTAAAATCTTGGGTGGTCCAAAATAAATTTGTATATTTATCTACACTGCAATAATTGCAAGGAATTTTGGTATAGAGTTTCCAATTTCCCAACTGCATTGGCAACAATTGTCAAGTAGAGGTTTGAGGATGTTTGCTGGTATTTTTGGCTCAGCAGAGCAATATCTTGTGTGTTGGAATGACATGTCCATTTGCTAAATTCGGTAGTTCCCAGCTGTAAACGAGAGTGCAGTGATATCTTGAATAGCCTATTTCAATTACCACACTTTGAGTGCTGTGCTCTATACATCTATCCGAGGTCTATACATATCCATTTTAACACAACTTTGCGTCCCAGATAGGTTGCCTGAACATTTAGCAGTTCAGAAGTTTTATGTTTTAACACAAATCAAGGTTGTAAGTTGAAATTAGTCAAACTGATGATCTGTTCCACCTGCCACATGTGGTACATTTTGCCAGATCTCGGCTGGTCACAACACCACACATTTGGGGGGAGAATAAATTCCCATTCTTTCCCCATAAGAAAATTATACTCTCATCCAATCAGGATAGCACCAACTGCAGTAAAAGACCAAAAAAGCAAAGTCTGTGGCCTGCACCCACAAGTGGAAAAGGTTATGGTTTGGAAACCGAGTATTTATGGAAAGAATCAAATTGGAGATGCTGATTGGCAGCTAAATCCTTGTTGGGTTTTATCTTCCAAACAAGACTTACCTTGGTGGGTTACCTGATCATTTTACAAGATGGCATACGAGTATCATGTGGTAACAAGCTGCCATTTCAGGAGCCAATCTCTACCTTTATCCAACTTCTGCTGCATAATTATCATGTGGTGTTGGTTGATCAGTCACAATGTTCATAGCTCAGATCATGCGCTCTCTTCACTGAATTGTCTGATACAATGATGGACAGTAAAGGAGGTCTGCACATTCAAGATAAATTTGATTAGAATAACTTTCTAGGAATTGCAAACATTCTCAAATCTCTACTTGCTAATGCAGTATATGAAAATCCAAATGTGAAAGAACTGAAATAAATGCAACTGAGAAAGTATATTGAAAAAACTTGTGTGAACTGTGAAATGCTTCAGAATGTAAATGCAGAGGCATCACAGTTAGTTGACAGTTCTGATTTTTGTCAGTTCTTTCAAATGTGACTTTATTATCCAGACCTTCAAGACATAAACCCTCTTTAAACTTGAATTTCATCTCTTATCTACCTTTTGTGTTTAAATTACCTTGACAACATTTTGTGAATGTGGGCAGAAGTAAACCACACATGAATGATTTACTTTTTGTTTCTAATTGAGTTAAATTTTAAAGTTAGGTGTTTGTGAAAATGTATCTGTCTTTCTCAGGATGATAAGCGGCAATCAGTCCTGCTATGTAGCCAAGAGCAGGAAAGGGGGAAACTTGGTGTATAGTGAAACTATAGAGACAAGTAGTGTTTAT